AGTATTTAATAGCTTCCTGCACTGAGAGGAGGATATTGGTGGGCTACAAGTATCTTTAAAACTTGCTCTTCTTTCATTTCAAGTTCTCATTGACTATGTTACTACATTATTAGTACTAGTATTAGTATCATTACTGATTATATTCCTATTGTTATATCACCATTTCCTATAATACCCAGTTTTCCAATCTTGGTTTATCTATAAGAGTATTCACTGTAATGGATGCAGTGTGGAATGATATTGTGGATAATTTTGAATGAAATTTGACATTTCTTTCCTCTTCAATTAAGAAACCTAACAATTGGGTGATGATATTTACAAACTGTATATCTTATAAGGGGTGAATATCCAAAATATATGAAGAACTCATGCATTTCAACAGCAAAAGAAACTAATAACCTAATTAAAAATGGGTAAAAGATCTGAACAGACATTTCTCCAAAGAACATATATAGATGACCAACAGGCACATGAAAGAATGTTCAACATCATTAACTATCAGAGAAATGCAAATTAAAGCTACAATGAGATATCACCTCACTCCTGTCAGAATGGCTATAATCAAACAAGTGTTTGAGAGGATGTGGAGAGAAGAGAACTCTCATACACTGCTTGTGGGAGTGCAAACTGGTGCAGCCACTATGGAAAACTGAAAGGCAATTGCTCCAAAAATTAAGAATTTAACTACCATATGATTCAGCTATTCCACTTCTGGGTATTTATCCAAAGAATATGAAAACATGAATGTGTAAGGATACATGCACCGATATATTCACTGCAGCATCATTCACAATAGCCGAGGCTTGGAAGCAACCTAAGTGTCCATCAAGACATGAATGGATAAAGAGGATGTGGTATATATACATAGTGGAATACTACTCAGCCATAAGGACTGATGAAGTCCAGGCATTTGTGACAACATGGGTGGACCCTGAAGGTCTTATGCAAAGTGAAATAAGGCAGAGGGAGAAAGTCAAATACAGTTTGATCTCACTCATAAGTAGAAGATAAAAATAACCAAAAATAATCACATAGAGAAAGAGATTGGACTGGTGGTTACCAGAGGGGCAGTGGGGAGGAAGAGGGTAAAAGGTGTGATTAGGCACATGTATGTGGTGATGGATTGCAATTAGTCTTTAGTTGGTGAACATGGATGTAATCTACACAGGAATTAAAATATAATGGTGTACACCTGAAATTTATATAATGTTATAAACCACTGTTACCAGGATAAAAAAAAAATGAAGTCCAGACACTTTATCAGAATAAACTGTGTAGTTTTATATTTTTTCTTAAGATATATTTATTTACCTTTATTTCATAGTACAAATCTTCTCACTGTTTTTTAATATTACATTTCTCTTCTTCAGAGATAAAAATTATCCGTATGTTACATTTTCCTTTCTGCCTTATTAATCATTTTTCTCTAAACTATTTGAAGTTATAGTTTGTTTTTAAATTTTTATTTTTTTAGTTTTCTCGAATGTCTTCCATGATTATTTCAAATTGTCTATAATCCCTTCCTATTGTGTTTCATATGACTCATAATTCTCATATCATTTTCTTTCCTGGACTCACCCAGCTTATTTCTCATAACCTGATAGAATTTTGTTATTTTTTTTCAACCTTGCTATGTCACTGAATGGATGTTGTTATTCTCAATAATATAATAAAGAAGAATTTTGCCTGTTAATTGTTCACATTTTTCCTATTATTTTCCATATTACTTTTTCCTTTTCATGTTTAATGAATGCCATTTTCTATTTTTACTCTGTTTTTGCTGTTTTTCTATTGCTTTTAATTAATTTTCAGGAGAATAACAGGTAGAAATACTTTTTCCTTGACATCTTTAATCAAAAGTATATAGTAAAATCTTAAATGTTAAATATAAGCAGTTGTGAATTATAGATTTTTGAATTTTATTTTCCAGTAATTCAACAAATATTCACAGAACACCAATTATTGACAACCTTCTGAGATAGATACTTTGAGCTATCTACAAACTACCAATGAAATGTTATGGAGGTTGATAATATGAGATAACAGCTCTTCTAGGGATAAACAATAATGTTCTCAGAGAAGGTGGTGAGTGAGATAGTTCAACCTATGTCATTAGACTCTATAATTTCTTCTCTCCCTTGTGACCCTTCCATGCCCAAAACTTCCTTTCTTCTCTTCCTGCTTCCCTGCTTCTATTTATCTCCTTAGCACTGCCTGGACTGCCTTTCCTGTTAACTTTGATTTATTTAAATTTTGCTTGTCTTTCCAGACCAATTCCTTCTCTGAACATTTTCTCATATACTCTGGTTTACAGGAATCTATCCTTCCTTTGGATTCCAGTGAACATTTTAAAAAATATTTTCCTAAAGATAAGTAAATTCCCCTTTGAACTATTGTTTTATTTTCATGTCTAGGTTTTGTCTCCCCAAAACCTATGCTACAGATCTCTAATAATACTAGATGACACTGATGGGCAATGATTCTATCCTGGACACTCTATGAAGTACTTTAAATGTATTACTTCATTAAATCCTTCCAACATCTCTTAGAGCTGGAAATCATTTTTCTTTGTTTTAGAGATGAAGAGAATGAGGCACCAAGATATTTAAAAACTTGCTCAAAATGACACAAAAAGTAAGCTGTGGAATTGCAATTTCCATCCAGGAGCAACCTACTTCATTCCAGATAGTTTTAGCTGCTCAATATCTCACTCCATACTGACAGAAAAAGAGATCTCTTTTGGCAAAGGAAGCTCCCAACAGGGGAAAACTGTATATTGTTTCTTAGGAATCCTCTCTTTGAGAAAATACACAATTAGGAAATAATACCTGGTCCAAATGCCATCAAGATTGTGTTAATTTTGTTCCTTCAGGTGTAAACACTTGAGGTTGTAGTTCTTTGGGGAACTGGCTCTAAACTATTGAAAACTCCAAAGAAAATGACACTTATTCTGTGCAATATGTGAATCAATGTGCAGGTCAAATAGCATCTCTACTCCTAAGCTCTTCAAGATGGGGGATTTGTCTTCTTCACCAAGCATTTAGAAAGTCATGCCCTTAAGGAAAGGTTACCGTCATGAAGGGAGCTGAACGTTTTATCCTTCCTTTTAGAAAATGATCATTTCCTTTGAGGCAGTTAAAGAAGCTACACAAAGGATATCCTCGAAGAAGTGAGTACATTTCACTTTGGATAATATGAAGTTTTTGAAATATGGTGGCGAAACATCAGGATGAGGTAGAACTTCAGGAATATAACCTCCTCACTCCAAGTTCTCTAAAGAAAGCAGACTTTGGCATTTTGTTTACATCCTTGAGAGACAACACTACTCATTTATGTGACTTTTCTGAACTGAATTTCTTGTTTATTTCTTTATGATATAGAGATACAGCAGTGTTCATGAAGAATTCTAAAGTCACACAATGTTAGATATGAAAGGGTATAGAGATCATCTTCCTCATTTTATAGAGGACTCACATTGACTTATACTCAAATAAATAAAAGAAAGAGACAAAGGAAGGAAGGAGAGAAAGGGTGAGTGGCTGTACCAAAACTAGGAGCTGTCTGTATTACCCCCACCCTCACACACCTATACTGGGATATTTGGATGGGCATAGACAGAAATATTCACGGCCATGGACAATGCTCCTGTATGCCTATCACTGTCTTTGTGACTGCTGAAAATATACTCCACATAACACTAAACAAATAATCATGATAGTAATAACATGATCATAAATTTAATAGATACAGTCATTATTTATATCATATATGAAACACCAATTATTAATTTGCATAATTCAAGAGTAGGATATTGTTTTTATTTTAAAGAAGACATTATTTGAAATGGTAATATTTAAAATCAGATTTTTTTCATATAAATTATCCTGCATAATGATCTTTCTCTCAGAATTTTAAAGATTTATTTTTTCTTCCTTCACTAATGAGTCAGAAAGTAATATTTTCTTAGGGGGTGTTCCTTGCATAAAGTATTATTTATTTGATGTTTTACATACAATATTACTACAATTGATAGTGCCAAACAGATTTTGGCATAAGTGCCTTAAAATAAGTTCGTATACAATAAAGAAAATTACATAAAATAATTCTATATCATTTTGGCCCAACAGATGCTTAATTTTCTATACAATTTTTATGACAAGTTGCTGTCGAACATGTGCCAGATCACTTGCCCTCAAAGGCAGTGCCTCTCCATTCGTCCCAAAGCATAATATTCCTTTATTGGAATTATGTGGTTGGGAGTAATTTCTACCCCCCACCTTTGCTCTCAATTTATCATTTTATATTCTTCACTCGTGTTGCCTCTTCTGTCTTTACAACTGTCAAAGTTAAAACTATTCTCTCTTTTTCAGAGCTGATCTTTATAAAACATAAACATCTTTCATTTTTCTACTGATCTTCAGAGTGTGTAACCTCTTTGTCAAATGTGTGCATTATCCTTCCCACATCTTATTACAAGTGGTACTAGGAAACAGATTGATAAACACAGATATAAATTAGGTCTTAATAATGTTAGAATGGTACTAATCATTCAGTGGGAACAGTGACTCACCTCTTAGGCTTTCCCAGATGTCTAATATTACGATCTGAATCTCATTGGTTTGTACAGTATTTCCAGTACAGATATTCACCAGTGGGTTTTATTATCCCTCATACAGTAAGGCGAAACATGGAGAGTAATTCTCATTTCAAATACAATTTTATAACTTGAAGGAAGTTGTGGATAATAGAGTTGCACACCTCTTCTTATAGGAGAGAGTACCAACTCCAAACAGTTCAAGGGTGAATTCCCAAGCTTAAACATGATGTTTGTACAACTCCCAGACATAGTATCTAGGAACATTGTCTTCCAGTTGAACATTTCAGTAATTGTTATAGAAATTTTAAAAATAATCTGTTATTTGCTTAAAATATTATTTTTAGCTGCTAATGATTGATTTTTTAATGATTTTTTCTTTAATGTAGCAGATTACAACTAACCAATGGAAGATAAGAATCAGACAGCAGTAACTGAACTTCTTTTCTTGGGCCTCACAGATCATCTTCCTGAGCAGATTGTCCTCTATATCATGCTTCTCCTTGTCTATCTTGTCACACTGGGGGGTAACTTGGGGATGATCACTCTCATATGGATTGATCACAGCCTCCACACTCCTATGTACTTTTTCCTTAGCCACTTGTCCTTTGTAGATATTTGTTCCTCCTCTTCCATTGCCCCCAAGATGCTGTGTGATACCTTTGCGGAAAAAAAAGGAATCTCTTTCATGGGTTGTGCTGCACAGATGTGGTCATTTGGTCTCTTTATTGCAACTGAGTGTTTGCTCCTTGCTTCCATGGCATATGATCGGTATATGGCCATCTGTAAGCCTTTGTTGTATACACTCCTTATGAGGCAGAGGGTCTGTATGCAGTTGGTGGTAGGACCTTATGCCACAGGTCTGATAAGCACAATGACTCACACAACTCTCACTTTTTGCTTACCCTTCTGTGGTCCAAATATTATCAATCACTTCTTCTGTGACATTTCACCACTTCTTTCCTTTGCATGTGCAGACACCTGGATTAATAAGTTAGTGCTTCTTATCTTGGCTGGAGCTATAGGAGTACTCAGTGGCCTGATCATCATGGTCTCCTATGTTTTCATCCTGGTGGCCGTCTTGAAGATCCAGACAGCTGATGGGAGGCAAAAAGCTTTCTGTACTTGTTCTTCTCACCTGACAGCTGTCTCCATCCTAGGTGGGACTCTTTTCTTTATCTATGTTCGGCCTGGCTCAGGTTCCTCCCTTGATATCAATAAACCTATTTCTCTATTTTATACTGTGGTAATCCCAATGTTGAACCCCCTCATCTATAGCTTGAAGAACAAGGAAGTAAAAGATGCCTTCAGGAGAAGGTTGAAAGGAAAAATTCTCTAATAGGTAGATAAAATAGAACTCTATTTGTGTTGCACCATAGATGTTGGTGCAGGATGTATAGTGATAAAAACACTATCCTCGAAGTCAGAGGCTGTATGTGTGTCCTGCCTCTGTCAGTTAACAGGTACTTAAAAATGAAATAGTTTTTAAATATTTTCTTCCCTTTGTCTTGTTCTCTGTGACATAATGGGTGTCAAAATAATACTGAGGTGGATTGAGAATACAAATGTGAAAATATAGTAGAAAGAAAACTTGGATGAATATTTGTACCTTTGTGAGTGTGTGAATACTATTTAATTCAGGAATGAAAATTAAAAGTTATAATGGAAAGAGCAAAGCCCTGTAACAATACTAAAAGATAAATAATGCAATTAGAGAAAATATTTCTGCACATGTGCCAAACAATGGGAAGATAACCCAATATTCAACAAATATTACAAAATTCACAACCAAAAAGAAAATCTATAAATACATGGACAAAAGAACAGGCAGGGGGCTGGCCCAGTGGCACAGTGGTTAACTTTGGACGTTCTGCTTCTTGGCCGCCCAGGGTTCATGGGTTTGGATCATGGGTGTGGACATGGCACTGCCTGGCAAAAGCCATGCTGTGGTAGGTGTCCCACATATAAAGTAGAGGAAGATGGGCATGGATGTTAGCTCAGGGCCAGTCTTCCTCAGCAAAAAGAGGAGGATTGGCAGTAGTTAGTTCAGGGCTAATTATCCTCAAAAAAACCCAAAAACTAAAACAAAAACAGGCAGTTCGCCAATATAGGAATGCAAATTGCCAAAAATGTATAAAAAAATGTCCAATATCAGTATCGGTCAAGTAAATGAAATGAAATGAAAATGTCAGTGCAGCCTTTCAATGCAAATGAAACATTCATAATTTTCAATGATGATGAGGTTCCTTGTTGGTTGTGTACACCCATTATTTCTTGCTGAGAATATGAATTACTCCATTTCCACAGTACACAGTCCACAAATTAGGTAGTTTATATGGCATTTGACCTATAAATTTCCTTTAGAAATCTACACTACAGAAATATAAATGCCAGTGCATAAGATTACATATATTTCAGCATTAAGTGTAGTGGCAAAGAAAAATAAAAGAAATAACTTGAATATCTGTTACTAGTAGAAAAGTATATTTTTTTCTGTTTAATGTGCAACTAATGAAAAAGACTGAATTAGGCAATCATAGGCTGACCTGCAGAGAATTATGGTCTATGCTCACTCACTGTTAGGTGAAAAAAAAAAATCAAGTTGAAGATCAATATGCAGCACTGAACATTAAGAAAAAAGGTGAAACCTAAATAATTAATAAGACAAACATATATGTGAAGGTAAATGAACATGGGGGAACTATAAAGGATACACAACAACGTGTTGACATTGATTACTTCAGTGGGAGTTGCACTGGGGAGGTAGGAAAGGAGAGGTTTTATTTATACACATTTGAACTGTAGCTTCTTCGTGTGCTCTGGTCCTACTTGGGCTCAATCTAGATGTATCATTTTCATCATTTGATAGATTCCTGTTGCACTGTCTGACTTTATTTATTGGAGGTTCCAACAAGACCAGCTCATTATAGAAGGCCTGGATGCGTACTCACATGATGCCCCTTCACAAGCATTCTATCAGGATCCAGAAATAGACCAGCAGCTGTTTCTCAAAAGACATAAAATTCCTGATTACGTGTGACAAGGATTTTCTCCTAAAGATCCAGACCTGTATTATTTCGTCACTTTCCCCACTATTAAAACTTTCATCATACAGTCGATTGTATCACGTGACCTAAGTGACAAGGTTACTTGTACAGCAAGTGAGACCTGCTGCAGAGCCCCTTCCTGCTCTGCGTCCTAATTAAAGCTGACTGTCTTCTGTGCCACTTGATATATGAGTTGAAGAAATGGGGAGTCAATGTAATGTTTTAAGGGCTCCACCAGCAATTGGCTTTTGTTGCCATCTGTCCAGTAGTGATTGATTCCGGAATCTCCTTCCAAGAATCTGCTTCCAAAGGGTCACTTCTGGTACCATTGTCTTAGTTTGAGATTTCCCAGAAGCAAACCCTGTGATAAGAATTCGAGTTTGAGCAGCTGATTTGGAGGCAAAGGAAGCACTAGTGGAGGAGTTAGGAAATGTGACAGTGAATGGGAAAAAATACTCTCTGGTATGAGTTTTCTATTTTTATTTTGGGATTGGTGGTGAAAGGAAATGTATTCCTTTCCAATATGTTTTTATCTTTTCTACTGGTTACATTTAGCAGCATATGTAACAAACTTTTATGTCTTGAATTATTACTTTAATGAGTTCATGAGCAGATTGTTGCAGTAGGCAACTGAATGTTAATCCTTCTGGAGATCTCTGGGTGGCAGTGTGAAAAACCCAGGCATTGGACTAATACCACTTCAGGGGCAGTGGAGCCGGAGAATGTGTATGTAAGCCAGTCTTTGGTGGAGAGCTGCTCCTGAGAAGTGCTAATTTCCTGGGACTTTTGGCTTGCCAGGAAAGTGGAAGAGCAGCAGGAAGAACAATCTTTAAAAGAAGAAATTCAGATGCTGGTGGTTGAAGGTTGGGCTGATATACACTGAAATGGTAAAGGTGAAGCACAAACAGAATCTGCTGCATCAATCAGTATAACAAATATAAACGGCTTCTAGTTCACACTTTCCATATTGCCTGGCATGCAGCCAAGAGCTGATTTTAAAACTTCCTTCTTTCTAGGTAGTAATTGTAGGGACAATTGCATCATGCACTAGTCCTACTCAATGAATAAATGACCATGTTTCCTTTTGAATGACTGTGTCTAGTTTCAGGAGAATGGACAAATCTGATTCAAATAAACTATGGGGAATATTGAGATCAGATATTATAAATCCATATATCCCCCACTAGCAGCTGCTTCTTAGCTACATTTCACAATTTAGATTCTGGAAAAAAAAGAGTTACTGAGCAGAGATGTGAAGAAGACTTTGACAATCAAAGTCACCACAAGCTAGGGCCATCATAGGAATGTTTACATACACCTGTTGTGGTTCATGTCCTTGGCTAGAAGGAATAGATCTCCCCCTGTTTAGTATGATTAGCTGGGGAGTAGTATTATTACTTCATTTTTGGCAAAATAATGGCAGTAAAAAAAAATTACAATATGAAAGGGAAAAATTTAGTAAGATTGGAGATTTAGACCTAATTCTTGAATATTTCTGTGAACTAATATACTCTATATACTATTTTTGTATTCTATTCTCTATCAATTGATAATATTGTAGTTATCTTTAATTTGCTAAATATTCCTTACAGCATATTCTATTAAAGCAGTTTTTATATTTTAACGTGCATTTTTAATATGCAGTATAATTGCATGGGGTGCAAAATTCAAACAGCACGTTAGGACATCTAAACAAGAATAAGCTTCCAATTCACTACACACAGAATTTGTTTTTTGTATTTTCAGACCTTTTTCTGCATATAAGAAACATATGTAACTGTGTGCATGTGTGGGTTTTTAAAAATAATACATATAAATGCTTACTATAGACAGTGCTCCATTCTTTGCTTAAATATTTTACTGATTATATTTTCGTATAAACACACATAGCTCTAACTTGTTCTTAACTACATATTTAGCATGCCCCTTAATGTAAACATTTATTATTCAGTCCTTTGCAATAATAAAAACTAATTGTGCAAAAACCATGTAAGAAATATATAGTTTTAATTTTTAACATTCCATTCTTTAATAGTTTTTTATTTGAATGCTTTTCTCTAGAACATTTGCATGGCAAGGATTTCAACCTTAAATAAATAAATAAGCACATACATAAATATAAATAAATAATAACAAGAACAGCCATATACCCTCTGCTCAGCTTAAGCTATTAATATTTTGTTTTATCTTTTGTGCACTTGCATTCTCTCTCTGTCTCAATATATACATACTCACATAGATAGATATCACATATATAAAAGTTTTTCTTAAACCACTTGAGTGTGAGTTATAGTCATCACAGCCCTTTATCCCTGAATGCTTCCTTGTGTATTTTCTAAGAATAGGGATATTACCTAACATAACCACAGTACAGTTAGTAACCACTACATCTTTTTATGTTTTTTTTTTAATTGCTCCAGTGTGAGTTTCCTGTGCTTCAGGGAGTGTGTGAAGGTGTGGACTCCTTTTTATAACATGGAAACTTCATGATTTGTTTTTATATCTTCTAGGGTTACCTTTAGAATTGTAGCTATTAAAATTCTATTTCTTGCATTATGACTTTAAAACCCTACGAGACTAAGAAAACTGTTCAGGTAGTGTATGTATATGTCTTACTTCTATTCCACAAACTAACTTTTAGGCTATATTATTATTTTTGTTATTTTTAGTGGTTAATTTTCTTCCTTTTTAAAATACACTTATACTGACAATACTGTCAGCTTTAAACATTTGTCATGGACCCCTCAGATGAGATTAGAAACTTGGTCACTTACTCTACCTGACAAACTCTTTCTTATTCCACTCCTTACTTTTGTTAGTTATATCATCATTGTCATATCATCATTTCTTGTTACATTTAGTTTGTATTCCATACTTACCGTATTTTTAATGAGTTCATAATAGTTTTCATCATTGTGAAATTTCAGTTGTAAATTATTTCTTGTCTATCATCATACAAGTGCTCCCCTTCACCCCCTGTGCTCACTCCCCACCCCATCTCCCCCTCCCCCTGGTAATGACTGAACTGTTTTCTTTGTCCATGTGTTTCTATATATTCCACATATGAGTGAAATCATGTTGTGTTTGTCTTTCCCTGTCTGGCTTATTTTGCTTAGGATGATATCCTCCAGGTCCATCTATGTTGTTGCAAATGGGATGACTGTGTGTTTTTTTATGGCTGAGTAGTATTCAATTGTATATATATATACCACATCTTCTTTATCCAGTTATTGTTTGAGGGGCACTTGAATTGTTTCAACGTCTTGGCTATTATGAATAGTGCTGCAATGAA